GTTAATTAGTGATTCTAAAATTGGCAGAAGGTGGGAGTTTGTCCGTCTCTCTGTATTTACAGGATGCTTAGATCGATCTCACTCAGTCGCAGCTGGAAGAGGCTCCAGTCTTCGTAACCCTGCACTGAATAAGTCATTTGGATGAAAGTGAAACTAATCTGGCTGTTTGGGTAAAGAAGTGACTGAGACAAATCCTCTGACTTGACTCTAGATATTTACAGAAATCCTTCATAAGTTTTAGAACGCAGAACAATTAAACACAGAACAGACTGGTGGGAGTTAGATCTTCCTCTTTTCCAGGATTTTCTCCTGCAGCCTTGAAAGGTGAGAAACAGTAGTGAGTGTGTATAAAATGTCAATTTGTCTGTCTGTTAACAAAATATCTTTCAAGCCACTTGACATATTTCAATGAAACTCCCAGAAACTAATTATTAGATGTACATCTACAACTCATTAGCAGTGAAGTCAACCCGATTCAAGATGGCCACCTCAGTTTATCGATAAATGGAGCCTTTTTTTTTTTTTACACATACTGAGCTAAAATTAAGTGTGGTAGTAGCAGGCAGTAATTCCCAACACATACTCCAAGTGCTTACAGATCGTATGTTAGATCACACACATTGAATATTTGATGAAAAAGTTACACTATAATCTCTTAATGCGAGATGATTGTAGTTTAAAACTCTGGCAGTAAATACTGGTGATCAGTGCTAGGCCTTTAACTTGAAAAAAATATTTTAAATGATGAAAAAGTCTAAATTTATAACAACATGTACAGAAGTGTGTTAGAGTCAGTCTCCCCACCATCACAGACATTTACACCTCCAGATGCAGGAAGAGGGCCACCTGCATCGTGAAGGACCCCACCCACCCAGCACACACACTTTTTGCCCCACTCCCCTCAGGAAGGAGGTTAAGGAGCATTAAGTGTAGAACCACTAGACTGAGGAACAGCTTCTACCCTGAGGCTGTTAGACTCATGATTCTCTAATCAGAATAATCACTGTGAAAAATCACATCATGTTGCTGCTGATCTGTTTCATGTTGCTGCTGATCTGTTTCATGTTGCTGTGTTCATGCATGCTCATCTGCTCACACAGACTCATGTTCGTGCTGCTGTTCAATGTATTGTGTTTATTAGTGCTTAGTGTACTTTTAGCTGATGTTTTTCTTAGTTCATATCTTAGATGTTATCATTGTTTTTCTTTTACATTTTATTGTTGGATGTAACTGGGACCCTGTGTACATAATTTCATTCCACCACATGTACCACATGTGGTGCGAATGACAATGAAGAATCTCTGAATCTGAATAACATCACTGTGGTGGCTGAGCTCTATTGTCAGACTTCCATGACAAGGTGTATCACCAGGTTATTAATTCTTCACCATTAAACTGTGAGCTTTAATGACGTCTTTTTAAATTGTTCAGTAGCTGCGTTCATTATATCAGTGTCGACTTTGAGCCTGTATAAGCCAGAGGCTATAGAAGCCAAATGGAATTCATCCATCTTTTTTTTTTTTTACATCTTCCCGTGGTGACATTTCAGAACCATCTAAATGAAAATTCCTACTCAGATCATAACCAGTGACAGGTCGCTCATGCTGAGTAGCATTTAAAACAAGATCTATGCTCCACAGGTAATTTTCTACCTGCCCAAGCATAACATTTTCCTCCAACGAACACTAAGCCTCTGTGCTCTCTAACCACAGCCACAGCTTTAAATGATTCTATTTTCCTCTGCTTTGGGGTGAAACACCTTCCAGATTGGGCTGTATGCTGGTTATCCATGGACTCGTCGCTCATCCTCGGTCCCTGGCAGACTTTGTGTGCAGCTGGACCCTCTCATTATTTACACTTGAAATGATTATGACATCATGTGCACAGCTGCAATATTTGCATCCACGCAACATGCTAAATCTGCGTGACAAAACGGACCCTCCTGCAATATCTACGTTAATGTATTCATGTGTTTTCTTCTTCTTGTGTGATTAAACTGAAAATAGAGCCTGAAGTGATAGTTCATGGACGAACTGAAGGTCAGGTTATTCTAAGGCTGCCATGAGAATGAGGCCAGGTACAGAGGGATGTTTGGATGTCTGTTTTGTTGGAACAGTGAAACACATTTTGTGGAGCTGGCAGGGTCGGTGCCATGCAGGGGGAGTTTCTAGGCCGGGCTTCTCCACAGTCAAAAGGCTGGAGGGAGATGAATGAAATGAACGCATTAGACGGGACAGTGCAGGTGTTGAGTGAATCACACAATTTTTTCTGTTGAATTTATATTTTTAGTTATTTGTGTAGGAGTTCTGGGGTTTTGGTCTTTGCTGTTTCCTCATGTTTTCATTCACCTCTCAGTGTTTTCTCCTCCTCCTTGTGTTCAGCCCTCGTCTCACCTGTGTTCAGTGTTAATCACCGCAGGCGCCTGTTGTTCGTCCCCATCAGCGTGTGCATATATTCAGCTCCTTTGTGTCTTGTCACTTGTCTCCGGATTGTCCTTCAATGGTGTCGTGTTCTGCCTCCCGTCCTGTCCAAAGCTGCCCTGTCAGCGTTTCCATTTTGTTTTTGTTAATAAATCCTGTTCAACTTTTATCCCGAGTCTGTTGTCATCTTCCTGCACGTGGGTTCAACACATCAGTTAGAAGATCGTGGCAATTTGTATTAACGTAAAGACATATTATAGCAAAAAAATTACTATTAGTAAAATCTAACCGAACCACTTTGTCTTTAAAATAAATTGTCCAACGTGTTTTCCATAAATTCTTGTGCATTAGCTACTCCTGAAGCCAGTGGGCATTATTTTGAGATATTTTGCTCCATGCACTTTTAGAAAACCTGCTAGTCTTCTTACGTGAACAATCAAGTGTGGTGGAATCAGCACAACAAAGTTAGGTGAAGTTGAAATTACATTTTCAGAGCTGCCATCAGGTGCAGGCCAGGTGGCCACGGCCCACCTTATAAATTTGCTGTACCCAAAGCAGATCCTGTCTTTTATTATCGCTCGCCTCCACGAAAGGCCGATAATATAATGTCCTATGTGACTTGGTCTATCTGGTTGTCTGTTAGCAAAATATTTCATAAAACACTGGAAGACTTTTAATAAATATCTCATAAAGTCATCTCCAGATGCACCTCTGATTAAATTTTGGAGTTAATCCAAATCAAGATGGACAAGTTCATTTACCTCAGAAAGCATGAAAATTGTTACAATTTAGTCAGTTTTATGAATATTGAGCTAAAAGTTGGTGTAGCTGAGCGTCATCCTGAACACATATTCTAAGGGCTACAAGATAAATCTTTGTTTAAAGCGTTGGGCAGTGCTTGTGACGTTCTCAATTAAAAATATCATATAAAATATGAAAATAGGTCAAAGAGGTGATCCTCCAACTCTCATATTGCAGTATTTTTCTAAAAGACATAAAATAAAACTCCTGAGATTCCATTATGGTTTTTGGTGCATGTGTCACCTAAGAACAGTGCCCCCTCCCACAATCTGGCTCCCCCCTTAAATAAAACATTGAATTTGCCCCTGTACTTCTCTCAACATGTAAGATGACTAACAAAGACCTGAGAATAAAAGAGTAGAAGATATTTTATTTGGTCTGAACAGATTTAACAAACACTTCACGCACATGTCAGTCCTTTGCTGCTGAAGATCCTACAGATTAGAAGATAAACTACAAAACTCAGCCTTCAAGTTACAATGACACTGAATACTAATCCGTGTTTCTTCTCCTGCACAACTCACAGTTAGCACTGAGTCAGATGTGACTGAAACAATGACATGCAGGATCAGGATGTTTATCAGCTCTTGGAGAAGTGTCAGATGATGATGTTCTCACTTTGAACTTGTTTTTTCATTGAAAAACTGTCAGAATTTTGTGCGTAAAGTCCAATTGTCTCATCTCCCCCTGAAGTTTCCTTTCAGCACATTTCTGTACTTTTTTAAAGACATTCCACCTTTAGCTTGTTCTACATATATTTACATTGAAGTGAAAAGACCGAGCTGCTGCGGGTTATTCCCGGCAGAAGACATATTCAGTGTAGCTAGTCCAGATTTTGTCCTCGCTTGGATCGTTGCTGGTGTACGCGCAGGTGCCCGTGGAGCTGCAGGCCACCATGTGGAAGCCAGCCTCTGTCAGCTTGTCAAACGCCTGCTCCAAGAAATTATACTTGAGGTAGTAGCGGGAGGTGTACCTCTCCGGGGGTCTGTCCGGGTCCCTGCTCTCGTTCAGCGTGTCTCCGAACACCTCCTTCGCCAGGGACGTCTTCCCGCAGACGGTGATGCGCGCCACCCTCCTGAACTTGGCGTCAGTTTGGATGTCTCTGCCGATGGTGTAGGAGCCACGGTATCCCACGGTGATGTATCCGGACCTCCTGGAGTCCAGGGACGGGGAGCGCACGGCTCCGCTCACAGACACCGTGCGTAAAGACGCGTCGGGCTGCGGCGCGCCGTCCTCCGTGTCGCTCTGGATGATCTCCTCACTCATCGAGTTCTCCTTACTCACGCGCGGGCTGAGGCGCTTGGACAGCTCCCGCAGCAGGAAGAAGTCCGCCTCCCTCTGCAGCCGGCTTTTCTCCGGGAAGTAGTCCGGGAGGACCAGGTTCAGGTCTCGGAGGTAGTCGAGGATGTACCGGAACAAGAAGCCGTCCCTGTCCAGGAAGAAGCGCCCCTTGCTGTCCTTCGCCAGCTCCTTGGGGGACTTCTTGCTGAACATGGTCCACAGGAGCGAGTCCGGCACCGCGATCAGAGTTTTGTGCCGGGTCACGTAGACCTGCCCCCCCACGTTCAGCTCGATGATCTCTGAGAACGGGGAGCTCGGGCCCCCGCAGCCGGACGCAGCGCGCTCCGTGTCGACCAGTGCCATCGTCTGTGAGCCGCTGAGCTGCTGGAGGATCAGTGGCAGCACTGTGCGCCAGCTGCTTTGCTTATGAAGCTTGGGCTTAACACGTGCGTGTGCGCGCGTGCACGCAAGAGTGACTGCTGAATTAACATTTAACTGTTGAGCTGCTGCTGCAGCTCTGAACAAACACAACAGAATGGATAGATTTACCAGAAACATGTGACATATATTTTAATTTATTTCTGCTCAGAGCACCAAATGCCGCCCCCCCCCCCCACCACCATTATTGAAATAATCCAATAAATTATGTATTCTGAGGAACAGCATGCAGCTGCATGAACTTGATGTTTTGAAGGAATGTTCAGAAAACATGGAAAGAGTGACACCCATTGCAGCTATGTTGAAAATGCAGCCAGAACCACACGCACACACACGCACGCACACGCAGCAGTATGGACAAGTTTAGGTTCTATTCTGAACACATTCATTTATTCAACCTCTAGTCTCATTGAGCCACGAGGACTCATTTACAAGAGAGACCTGTTCCAGGCAGAACATTAAAGTACAGACAACAATAACAGTAAACAATAATAACAATAAACTACAGTAAAAATGCAGTTAAAATAAGAGTAGTGAATAAAAAAATAAATCAGGGTGCTGTAAGGTGAAATACTAAAAACAAGAACATATTTACTTTGATTTTTTTATTGACATTATCAAATGTTTGAAACGCAGTAAAGACATTCAGATGGCTTCACTTCCTGTTGCAAGATGTTCCAAGTTACAGCTGAGCAGGAAAAGGCCTTTTTGCCAAGTTCAGTCCGCACTGAGGGAACGCTGCAGGTAACGATGGTAACACACAAGACAAAGACAAACTGATAAAAATCTAACATTCCTTGCAACAAATCTAGAATAAAGTATTGTTTGTGTTTTGTTTTTGAGTGAAACTTGTGGTTCTGAGATTAGTTTTTTCACTTTATGTTCTTGTTTCATTCATAGTGGAGTAGGATATTTCTTGTAATATATTTTTTGGGTAAAGAGAATGGATGGATGGATTGTAAACCTGTCTTTGGATTGCCTCACAGCCATGTTAGGAAGTTTGTTTTTCAGAACATATGGTTACTGGGCTGCCTTCACTCATGATGGAAACCTTGATGGGATTTATAGCTCTTTCCTGAGCTTTGTATCTTTTGACTTAGCTCACCAAAGAGCTGAGCCAAACCTCTCATGACTCTCAAACACCCATCACTTGGTGGATTGTGGCAAACCTGACAAGTCCGAAGGCAGCCTTGGTACTACTTTGTTCTTAGTTTTAGCCTAAACATATTATTAATAATAATAATAATAATAATAATAATAATAATAATAATAATAATAATAATAATCCTGGTTTTTCTGCAACTTTTCCACTAACTCTGCACCTCACCACACTGTACATATGAACAACTCATGTGACTCCTCTGCTCCTCTGAAGTGGCTGCTTCTAACTTTGTCAAAAAACAACAAGCCTGAAAATTTTATTTCTACATTGACTATAGAAACATGCCGTTCCTGTCCAGAGGTTTGGGAATATGTGCATGAACTTTCTGCAGAAGATAAACACTAATATTATGAGGAGGTCAGGCTGCTGTGTAACCTCAGGTTATTAAGAAATATCTGTCATTATAAATGCAATACGTGCACATGCAGACACCAGTCAACTGAATGTGACTCAAGTTTTTAATAAAGCGTGTTTAAACGTCATAGTTTGATTTCTCCATTTTGTTTATGCAACTTTCTGAAAGTCGTTCTCCAGATCCGCCAGAAAATTCACATGTATGAACATATTAATGACAAACTGCTAAAAATACTAATGATAGTTTTGCACTTCTATTGGACATTATGGGTTTGAAGACACTGAAACATCATAAAAACAAACAGATGTTTATATAAGAACGTGAAAAATGATGCCTCTAATACAAAATGTAGCTATTCGAGCACATAAATGTGCAACTTGTGCTGCATTTATGTCTAAATGCGAAACTTATTTTGCCCTTTTTTTTCACAAATATGTGAAACTCAGTCAATTCTGCATCATTTTAAACAAGAAAGGCTCAATGATTTCTGTAGAATTACATACATTTGTTATGTTAAATTAAAAAATATACAATTTTACAGCATAAACTGCTTATATGTTTTATAAAGGATGTTTTTGTAAGATGTAGAATTTAGTTGTTTTAGACAAATTTATTTAGTGGGAAAATAGTTAAAAATGGCTTAAAATAAAGTTTACAGACCACTTGTTTTAGCTGATTTTTACTTTTTCTTGTTGTAGGAGGGTTGTCTGCCTTTGAGAGTGTCATTCTTAAAAAACTTTGGATCTAACCTGCATCCTGTGAGCCTCAAACTCACAGCAACCAGGTTCTGTCAAAGTTTCAATCCTTAAGGCATTTTTTTTTATTACAGCATGTTTTTATTAGTGATTAAGAGATGCAAAAAACAACGTCTCTTATTTAAAAAAAGACAAATCTATATAAGACTTAATGAACTTCATGAAGCTCTGTCCTTCACGTGGTGCGTTTAAGGCAGGATGGTGATCTGTACAGATGGGCTGCTAGAAAGATGAATCAAAACTTCTGCCTGGAAATTCTGCAGACTCAACAAATTCTGTCACCGCACAAAAAAACTTCCGTATTTCATCAGAACAAAGGGTAACAAAAGTTCACACAATGTTTCTGCTACAGCAGAGGAACACATTTGTTAAGACTGGATTTTTACACTGCAGCTGATAAATGTGAGCTTAGAAAATATTCCACAATGATTCATGCGCTCTCTTTTGGGAAAGAAACAACAGAGACAATAGGAAACATAAATAAAAAATTAAAAACAGAAAATTATGAAAGCAAAGTGTATGTAAAGAGATAAGCTAAATTAAAGTGCAATAAAACTAATTTAGAATGAGATAAAAACTTGAAATGCACTAAATCCAAATTGGACTTCTTCAGTGTTTAAGCGTAATTTTTTTTTATCGCCAACATCATTAAAGGTGTGTGTTAGCACAATATTTCACAGTTCACTGATTGTCCATCCACTATAATCCAGTAATGGACGTTAATAAACTTTCAGAAAATAAAAATTTGGTGATTATCTAAAACTAATTAACTTTTAGAACTGACTTGATTCAGGAAGCTGCAACAACTAATAAACCTTATTTTTTTCCATTCATTCATTCGACCTTTATTTAGACAGGTAAATCCCATTGAGCCTCGAGGACTCATTTACAAGAGAGACCTGATTTCAACAAAGAATGATGACAACAATGGACAACAGCGACAACAATAAACAGTTATAAAAAGTCATACTCCAGGTTTTTTTTTTCTAAACAAATAGGATGGCTAAAAGAAAAAGGTAACAAAAACAGCTAGATTCTAAGGCGAATGTAGAAAACTAAAAACAGGAACATGTCTGCATTGGTCTTTGCCAGGAGTCCAACAGATTCTTAAAGCCACTTAGAGAGGTCAAGGTCGAGAGATTCAAATTGTTTTTGTAAGATATTCCAGGAAACAGGAGCGGAGTAGGAGAAGGCCCTTTTGCCAAGTTCAGTCCTCACTGAGGGAACACTGCAGGTAATAATGTCCTGAGAGCGCACGCTGTAGCTGCACTCACGCAGAGACATGCAGGAGGAGATGTATGAAGGCAGCAGACCAAGAAGTGATTTAAAGATGAAAATGTACCAGTGAGAGAGTCTGTGTGAAGTTAATGATGACAGGTTAACCAGTGAATACTGGTGCAATGGTGGGTACAGTAGTTACAGCCAGTTATGAATCTTAGTGCATCATGATAGACAGCATCCGACATCTGCAGGGTTCTTGTAGGAGAGATCATGTAAATAATGTCACCGTAATCAATGGAGGGAAGGAAAGTCACAGATACAAGGCGTTTCCTAGCATTCAGGGTTAGACAGGATCTGTTTCTGAAAAAGAAACCCAGTTTAACTTTCAGTTTCTTTACCAAGTTTTCCACATGAAGCTTAAAAGAGAGATGCGAGTCGACCAAGATACCCAAATATTTATAGGAATCAACAAACTCAATGGGGACACCATTTGAGGATAAAATCTGAGGAAGAACTGCTGAGACCGACTTCCTGTTTGAATAAAGCATCCCTTTGGTTTTATCGTTGTTTAGGACAAGTTTGAGGTGGAACAAATCTGTCTGGATGTTGTTGAATGCAGATTTCAAAAGCTGGAAAGCCTTTTCAACTGTTTTAGCTCGACAATAAACAACTGTGTCATCAGCAAAGAAATGTATGGATGCATTAGGGATGTTTTTACCTACATTATGTATGTAGATTGTAAAGAGGGTGGGTCCTAAGACTGAGCCTTGTGGTACACCATTGTTGACTGTTAAATAACTGGAGGAAGTACCATTATGTTGAACACATTGCCTCTGGTCTGAGAGATAGTTAGAGAACCAACCAATGATTTGTTTTGAGAAACCGATTTCTGAGAGATTATGACACAAGATGTTATGATCCACAGTGTCAAAAGTTTTAGACAGGTCTAATTAAAGTGCAGCACAATAATCTTTAGCATCCAGTGCTTCAACAACGTCATTGAGAACCTTCAGTGAAGCAGTGGTTGTGCTGTGTTGTTTCCTGAAACCAGATTGATGTGGAGGTAAGATGTTAAATGAGTCCAGGTAATTTTTGATTTGAGAGTTTATCAGTTTTTCTAGAACCTTGGCTAAAATGCAGAGTTTGGAGATTGTTGTTCAGTGAGGTGGGGTCACCTCCCTTCAGCACAGGAAGAACAAAGGCTGTTTTCCAAGCATCTGGAATGGAGTTTTGTCTTATGGAGAGATTGAAGATGTGGGTCACAGGGACTGTGATGATATGAGCAGCCAGCCTTAAGAAATAACCGTTTTTTTTTTCCCCATCCCTGAAAGGTGAGGATCTTATAAACACAAAACTGCTGTAACTTTGTCCGTTGTAGATATTGAGCTACGATTTGGTGTGGTACTAGCTGGGAGTCATCCATAACACGTGCTCTGAGCTCTAGAGGTTATTTGTTTTAACTTTGATCTGCAGGCTGTGGGTGATTCCTTCAAGAAATGCATACAAGTAGTTATTCTAGAATCGTTCTAGAATTGCGCCTCTCGGGGTGGCTGCATGTTGGAGCAGCTCTGTCACATTCATTATGAGCTATTGCTTTTGAAAACTTTAACTCCTCTATTTTCTGGATGTAAATTGCTTTTTTCGGATGATTGTTTCCTCTGGTATCAGATGCTGTGCAGCTGGAAGGATTTTTACTGAAACCTTTTTACTTTGGGGCATTTGTTATGATGCGTAACCATGGCAACAATGTGCTTTTTAACAACCAGGAGCAGCTGATTAACATCTCAAAAGCTCCAATACCTCAACTACAGTCCCAAATCCCAAATGAGTTGAAAAGGAGGCACCGTGGACTATTTCCCGTCAACCTGACGGCAGTGCTCAAGTACCTGACCGCCGAGATCCTGGAGCTGGTGGGAAACTCAGCTTGTGACAATGGGAGGACAGGGGTCATCCTCCAGCACCTTCAGCTGTCTGTTCGTCGTGACGAGGAGCTCGGCAGACTGCTGGGAGGAGTGACCATAGTTCAGAGAGGAACTCTGCCCGGCATTCGGGCAGTCCTGCTGCCCAGGAGGACTGAGAGGCCCGCCGGATCTGACAGCAAGCTGGATCCAGGAGGACGGATCTGTGGCCAGATTCTTCAGATTTGCTGCAGGAGATCCTTCCTGCCCACAGCAGCATCTATAACAACTCTTGAATGAAACCAGGATGATGAGCTATGACAACACTTAATTTCTCTTTGGGATCAATAAAGTATTTTTGAATTGAATCTAGCACTAACAACTTTGTTTTACTTCCTTTTTCTTTTGATGTAAAATTTTGCAGTCACAGTTTAAATACTAAAAGTCAAAAGGTAAAGTTCATAAAGTGAAATACTGAGAAAATATGTGAATGCAGGTGTTCTAAAGTAGCTCAGTTGAATTTATTTATTTTCATACTCACCGTAATTTTACATTTTATCTGCATCTAGTTTATTTTGTGTAATGTTATTTTTCTGTCACCTCAGGAAGTGTTCAGACCTCCTTACTCCTTTCCTTTCAATAAAAGCAACATTTTTAGGTTTTCACCTTTTTTTGGTTTGGAGCAAAGCCATCAGAGCTATTTTGAAGAACCACAGCCACTCTCCAAAGTGAGGGTTTACATTTCTTATTTCCACAGCTGTTTGATCTCAGACTCGTGATTACTGGCGACGAGTTCCTCTCCTCAAAACTTCCCATTGCAGAAAACTGACTTTCCAGTGTGGTCTCAGAAAGATGTGGATTGTGAAAGATGACTTGTCAGCAGACTTTTCCAAGTCATAGATGAAACGCAAGCTCGCGAATCAAAGGAAAACTTCCAGAAATGCTGATTTTGTTTCATTTTAAGCTTTTATATGTTTCATTTTGGACTTGACTATTATGTGTTATCACGTGGTTTAGCTCCTGTTTTATTAGAAATGTTGCATTCAAAAGCAAATTAGTGATAATCAAAATGAAAGCAAGAAGTAAAATGTCCAATATTGTCACAATCAGTTGAAACAATAAAGTGAGTGCAGTCATTGTGAAAGTGTCCACTTCTCATGTTGATTTTAACCACTTTGGAAATTCGGCTGACCAGCCCACAAAGTAAAACGCTATAAAAGACGAGAAGTTTTGAATGTGTTCACATGAAGAGGTAGTTGAGACAAAGCAATGCTTCGCAAGGTACTGACAATTTAATACTTATTTTCTTAGGTTTACTTAATTTTATTTATATAAAAAAAAAGAATGTTTTTAAAAAGTTGTCTTTAAAATGCCTTCATTTGTCAAAATCTGTAATATTTAAGAGTTTTGTGTGGCAGTTTGGCCCTGACTGGCCCTGATTCACCTTTGCAGGGAATTACAGAGAGCTTTGGAGCTGCGATCCACGCCCTTAACACCACCCATCTGACAGATGGTGTGATTAACAGGAGCAAACGGATGCTGCTGGACACCCTGGGCGTCGGACTGTTAGGGAGCCGGACAGCCGTCTTCAACAAGGCCCTAATGTACAGCCAGGTACAGTGTACTCAAAAACAGGTTTTTTTATAATGCTGCAGCAAAATATCTGCAGAGACAGACTTTGATTGTCAAAAATAAATAGCAACTGCAAAAATATTTCTAAAATTCTATAAATTACACATTAGAAATGCTTGTTTTTTTAAATAGCAACAGATAATTATATACGCTTTATTTGCATCTTGAATCATCTCGATCCATCTTGGACGATTCTTCAGATGCTCTTCTATTCTGCCATTGAGTTTCAGTAAAGCAGGATCTTTTCCTTCTAACTTATAAAACTCTCCAACTGCAGATGTTCATGTCTGAGCAGAGGAGCAGCGTTTGGGGTCGATCAGAGGTCACTCTACCTCCTCATTACGCCGCTTTCGTCAACGGCATCGCAGTAAGTCTGGAACGTAAAAACATTGTGATGGAGACTTCTGCTCTGCTTTGAGGTTTGATCACGAGCTTCTCTGATGTCAGGTTCACTCCATGGACTTTGACGACACGTGGCACCCTGCTACTCATCCCTCCGGAGCCGTGCTGCCCGCCCTGCTGGCCCTGGCAGAGACCCTGCCGAGCCGGCCCTCTGGTCTGGACCTCCTGCTGGCCTTCAACGTGGGCCTCGAGGTGCAGGGCAGGCTAATGAGGTTCTCTAAAGAGGCCTACAACATCCCTGAAAGGTGAGAGTTGAAACATCCCAAATATTTCATCTTCTGCTTTTTTATACTCCGTCTGTTGCAACTTTTCCTCATAGTGTTTTTTTTAAACGTCAATTTTTCATTTTCCTTTCAGTTGAGGTTTTAAAAACAGTATTTAAAGTGGGGTTCTGTGAAAAATGACCAATTATTATTTACCCGTTATAAATAGTTCTTTGAACAACCTCAGCTGGAAAGCATGAAGTTTTATTTTGACCAGATTATTTAGCTACAGGCAACGCAAGCGGGGTCAAGACAAAAATAGGCTGCTGCTTAAAATAGCTCCATTTTTAAAACTATTATAATTTACTTAAATTCTTTTTTTTTTTTTTTTAATCAACATTTCCATAACGATAACGGTTTCTGCTAGCTGTAGCACTTCCTGTAGAATATTATAAAATGTATGACAGTGTAAAGTTTTAGAATGTAATCTCAGACGTTGACTCGTCAAAATTATTCTGTTCCTCCAAACTGAGGCTGAAGAATTTTCTCAATTTAAAGTTTAACAATATTTTTTGTCCACAATCTCCTAAATTTCCTTAAAAGATTAATATTCTGCCTGACTGAGAACAGGAACAGCTGTGGATGTTTGTGACGTTCAGTAAAAATTAAAGCCCGTCTTTAACGTGCTGGTCTTTGACAGATTCCACCCTCCCAGCGTGGTCGGAGTGATGGGGAGCGCTGCGGCCTCAGCGAAGCTCCTCGCTCTGTCTCCTGCTCAGTGCGGTCACGCCCTCGCCATCGCAGCCTCCTCTGCCGGGGCTCCTCTGGCCAACGCCGCCACACAAACCAAACCTCTCCACATCGGGAACGCAGCTCGAAGAGGCCTGGAGGCCGCGCAGCTGGCACAAATTGGACTGGAGGGGAATCCAGCCATATTGGACATGGACAGCGGGCTGGGGGTTTACTACAAAGACTACAACCCCTCCCCCATGGCTGACTCTGGTGTCTTTAGGTGGATTCTTGAAGATCAGGATGTGGCGTTCAAGCGCATCCCCGCCCACCTGGCCATGCACTGGGTTGTGGATGCAGCTTTGGCCGCTCGTGCAAAGCTTCAAGACGCAGTGGAGAACTTTGACCCCAGCCAGATTCAGCACGTTGCACTGAGGGTGCCTCCATCCAAGTACATCAACTGTCCCTCGCCTGCGACGGAGCATCAAGCCAGGCACTCGTTTCAGTTCAACGCCTGCTCAGCTCTGCTGGACGGCAAAGTGACGGTCGCTTCTTATAGCCAAGCTCAAATCAACCGGCCCGCACTGACGGAGCTGCTATCTAAAGTGGAGGTGGAGACGCCTGAAGACAACGCCCCCAGCTTTGACAAGATGTACAGCGAGGTGGAGATCAGATCAGCTCAGGGGCGGAGCGCCGCAGCCAGGTGTGACACCTTTTATGGCCACTGGAGGAAGCCGCTGAGTCAGAGGGACCTGGAGGAGAAGTTCAGCGTCAACGCGTCCACCGTGTTGTGCTCAGAAGGGGTGGAGGGGGTGATGGACGTGGTGGGGAACATGGAGAAGGTGTCCGAGTGCTCGCTTCTAGGTTCATATCTGAAAATGACAAGTAATCAGGAGCTGCTGTACAAGATGAGGATTATGTAATCATTTACCACCTGACCTGATAAAATGTAAATAATCAGAATGTAAATATTTATGCACTTTTATACTTGTTTGAAATAAACTGAACAGAAAAGCTGATGTGCTTTTTATTACATGCTCACTAAAGGTGATGAGTCATACATTAGATGTGCTAGAATCATGTCATGCAGATGTTACAACGACCACAGCAACACACTTTCGGAGTATCTCTACATGTTTTTAAATCAAGATGCCGTTTTCATTCTGTGCTCGTCAGAAGAACATCAGCTCAGCAGGTCCCCCCCCACCCCAGTCTACTTGTCAGTGACATCAGGCCAGCTTCAGTACGCTCTGCACCATCGAGCCGATGCCGTCAAAGATCTCGTGGATCGGAGCGCTGCACATGAAGGCGCTGGTGGTGACCAGTTTGTTCTTCTGGTCCACGTGGCTCTGAGCGACGCTCGTGCTCACGTGCTTGCAGCCCAGCTGGTTGATGGCTGCTGCGGTGTCAGACGTATCCGGATACCTGAAAGAAAACCAGGTCTGACTGTGAGAGCAGTTTACTGCAGGAGCCTGAGTGAAGAGGAATCATTGCTAGGCATTCGACAGAGAACGTGTGAAAGAAGGAATTCCTTGAAGAACTGCAGATCACCCGCTTCCTTGCTTTGGTTAGAAACTAAGATTTCACTCAACCCGTTAGCCTTCAGATGATGTGTTGGGTACAACTACATCCCATTTTACCACAATAAATCACATTCTAGAAGACCCATCATGGTGTTTGAACAAGTCGGACTCACTTGTCATCCTTCTCGATGCCGACGGTGACCTCACACCCGGGAAACACCTTGGCAGCCAGGACAGGTGAGATGCAGCAGAGACCGATGGGTTTACCTTCGCTGTGGAACGCCTGCAGGGCGGCCTTCACCTCATCATTAACCACACAGTCCTTCCCCTGCACTGCCCACGTGCAAAGGTTCTTTGCTGCCCCAAAACCACCTGAAGAACATGTTATTCAGTTCCAAACACGTTTTACGCTCAACACCTGAACACACAACTAGTTCCAGGAAAAAAAGAAACGCGTGACCAGTAATGACCCAAACAAACCTGGGAATATGACAGCATCGTGGTCTTTGGCGCTGAGTTTAGACAGGTCCTGGATGTTTCCACGGGCAAGCCTCGCACTCTCCACCAGAACGTTTCTCTTCTCCTGAGATGGTTCACCTTTCAGGTGGTTCACCACGTGCATCTGATCAATGTTGGGAGCAAACATCTGCACCTGCAATGAAGTAAAAAAATCTATAGACTCTCTTATGTTGACAGAGGCAGTTTTTGTGTGATTTATATTTCCAAAGTGCAAAAATATGAGAATACACTGTCAGTTGAGGCACCTTTACTCAGGCTCAGCAATGACCATAAAGAGACTAGGCCCGTCACTTTAACAAATTTTGCTGGGTGATTGCCTCAGAAATTATTGCAATAAACAATAATACTGTTTGAAATTTGACAATAATTAGTAATCATTGTCAAATTTAAGAAGAAATGTTTGCGAATTTGTTTAGCAAGTAGTACCTTTTATTGACCACCAGATGGCTGTTCAAGACTGTTTGAACTGACGGATGGATAGTGAGGGAGCAAGCAGCGTGTCTGGAGGGAGGTCGCTTGGCGTGACATGGGCTGTCTCTCTTTGGTTCTCAAAATGGCGGACACTCAGTGTGGTTTGAGCTCTTTAGCATAGCATTTTTCACACAAAGCTTTTAATAATAATTTTTTTTTTTTTTTAATCAGTAAACAAGTTTTCAGCTTCTTTTTGCAGAAAAAAACTTGACACAAAAGCACGGGTTTCAACTGTGAATTTTGGAGCTTCGACAAGACGGAGGTTACCCCCCCCTCCCCCTTTGGATCGTTAAAATGGATTTTAAAGAGAAAAGAGAAAGGGAGGAGTCAGTGAAGATCACCGGAGTTGATCTTTGTCATCCAGTGTCTTCAATAGAAAGAGAGACATGAAGAAACGATAAAGCCGATAAATGAAAATGAGGTTGATAATTTTCATTTATCATGCGATTAATTGATTTATTGCGACAGGACTAGTAAAGACCATTCTATTCTAAAATCCGAATACATGTCAAAAACATTATTTTAGTTTTTCTAATGAGACATTTCCGATGTAGGGCAATAAAAGTATTTAAAAATTGGTTAAGTTTGTGGATAAGAGAACAAGTTCATGCAGCAAACTTTAAAAGCCGCACAGCCAGGCATGACATGCAAAAAGACAGAATCATCAGTACTACGAGTGCAGGCTGTGGTTTTTACTTCTTGTAAGCTGCAGCATCAGAAAACAGATAATTTGTCTTCAATATACAGTACATAAGGAGAAAAAAGCAGAAGATGGACAGTAAAGTGAAAAAGTAAGTCTCTTCAGCCTGAGTGCAGTCTGATCTCAGTGGTTTACATGAACTAATAAGAACTAGGGGTGCACAGATAAATCGGCCACCATTTCCTTAATTTTTGGAAATCGGAACTCAGCTGATACTTGCATGAGAAACCGATTTTACAGATTTTTTTTTTTACTTTTAACAACAATTGTCTAAACATTTATATTTCAGAGCACAACCTCATGGCCAGTTAAAACAAGTTTGTTTCTAGGATATTGTTCAAGGGTTCAATAAAATAAGATTGGAAAACAGAAGGTGCATTGTGACCTAACAGTGTCGCTTATAAAACAAAATCGGTATCGGCAGGTCAAACTTTTTAGAAATCGGTGATCGGCCAGAAAACTGCAATCGGTGCAGGACACAAGATTAATGCAAAGTAAAAAAAGACCTTCTGCAAAAAAGAAGTACAAAAAGACTTCACGACAACCCCAGCCAGCTGGTGGAAAGAGGAAAGCAGCATTAAGCATGCTCGTGAAAATGATATTTATGAATGACCCTAACTGTCTAATCTCTAATTTTCCAGAAAAATAAAATTGTATTTAGGGCTAAGCAACCCAAATTTCTAGGTTCACCGTGCAGACATGAACATCTGAAGAGGAATGTTTTCTGTTTGGTGCCTTTAAACATTAGAATGTGCTCGCTGTTTGACGACGAGTTTGTGACAAATGATTGAGAAGACAGGAAAATACAAACTACTAAAACCCGGTCGGCATAAAGATTCAAATTACATCCAGTGATGCAAAGTGGTATAAATAACCTGGGTTGACTCGGACTTTGTATCAAGGTGGCGAAAGGAAAAAGACATGCGCAACAATTAAGTCTTGTTTTAGGAAGGACATTTTGTAACAAACTTGTTTATCAGCGCTTTCACACTTTGACATTAATTAATGTAAATTGAATGCATTATTATTATTCATTATTGTTATATGCAATGTCTCCAAGTAGAGACATGAAATGGAACAGAAAAATTAGTGAGGTTTTAGTGAATAAATACTTTATAGTACAACAATCAGTTTAAAAATCAGTCCACACTTTGTAACATAGTTTAGCTCCTTAAAAATATTAAGAAAATGTTCAAAACATTCTTGAAACGTTAACTAAAGTGGCCCATGTGATTGAAGCTGCTCGTCCTGAGCCTGGTTCTGCTGGAGGTTTCTTCCTCATGTGGGAGTTTTTCCTTCCCACTGTCGCCTTCATGCTCAAGATGAGTCTGCGATGAAGTTAAACTCAATAATGTTATTAACTTACTTTTTATGTATATGAATGTTTCTGTTCAGCGCCCTGAGATGACGTCTTCTGCTGAGACTTGGCGCTTTATGAATAAACTGAATTTGAAAACAACCTTAAGATGCAGATGTCTGCTCCTACCGGAAGTTAATTCCAGTGTCTTGTTTTGTTTAAGACAACCTTTGTCAGGTGGAAGATAACATAACTGAGTAACATTAGACAGATTTAACAAACCACAGAGAAAGTCGGTCAGATTGCTTGTGTCACACCTTCTTCAGCCTCCCCCTCACATTTTAAACCGCAGACTATTTTTATCCTGCAGAGAGCAAATACAGATTCAGCAGCTTACTGTGGCACCTCCTCTGCTCAGATGGACCAAAACAGCGGAGGCTTCGTGGATTTCACTCCCATCGTAAACTCCGCAGCCGGCCAGCACCACCGCCACGCGCTTAGCCATCTGTGAGGAGTAATAACTTTTATTTAAGCTCTGGACCGTCCTGTCAGCCAGAACCCTGCGGCCACAGTGAAGCAGAGCGAGCATGGCGGTCAAAGAGACGCCCT